ACAAGATAAGCAGCCTTCCAGTAGACTTGTATACAGTAGCAGCTGCCTGACAGATGTCAAGAGCTATAGCCTGAGAGGGCTGTTCCTTTAGCACAGAAGCTAGAGTGGTTGAACTTGTATTGACTGGCATGGATCTTTTGGGCAAGCAGTACCTTATCAGGCTGGATCTTGAGGAAGGTGTGAGGGTTTTTTTGTCTTTGCCAGGTGATGAGCTCTCTCTTACATAGCATGACAGCATCAGGGCAGTTAGGCAGTATAGTTTGAGTTTCCACTGTTGAGTTCATTGTGAGATGCCAAGCATGTGTCATCAAAATGTGGCAGTTGCAGCATCTCCTCCACTTTATAAGCAGGGGAGTTTGTTTTGGGGGTATTTGGAGTTTGTTTTCCTTGACGTGTAATATTAGGATACAGAGTATTGCAGAGGGTTTTAAAGAAAACAGTGTCCTTTCTTTGGTGTCTCTTTTTCTGTTGTTATTGTGTTGTTGTTTTGTTTTTTTATTTAGTGTTAAATAGCTTTGCTAGGCAGGAGTTGCACTGCGCGTGTTTTTCTGTGAATAGCAGAGGCTAGCAGTAACCTGTGTAGTCTTAGCTTCTTGCAAATTCAGCAAGCTCACTTCACCATTTCTGCTCTTAATCTTCAGAGCTGCCATGGGAGGTTGTCTTAGGTAAGTATGCAAACTGAAACCATTCCTAGATGTGTAGGACTTTGGTTGTTTACTGTCTGTTCCCATTGAACATTGGTTCTTGCTGAGCATTGACGTGACTGAAGGTTTGTGATGACTGTCTGCCATAGTCTTGATGAATACTGTGTTTTGGTTCAGGTTGTCCTCTGTCTTGAAATTTGTTTCTTCAAGTAAGACAAGTGTTATTTGCTTAGTTGAGTGGGTTTAAGATATGCCCTAGTAACGTGAAAGGGAGCTAGGGCAAGGTTAGATCCCTAATTTGTTCTGCATCTTCTCTGTACCACTTTATTGCCTAGAGCTGCTTGGTGTGGTGTCACATAGAATCACTTCCCTATAGCTATAGTAATTTACCAGAGTAACTTTGCTAGTAGATTAGTGTGCCAGACGATGTCTCGTACTGCTGCTGAGGCAAATAAGAATGTGGTTTTATCTTATAACAAGACTGCCTTCATAAAAGTAGTGAGGAACGTAGCCTAGACTACAAGTGATCCTTTCCTGGTTCTGATGTAGATTTTGCCAAAGCTTTCTGGCAACTATTGAATGATTTGTGCTACTTAGAAGCTGGCAGCCATTGTACTCTTCTTACTATAGTAGTATTTCTTTTGTAACTCTTTTCAAGGATTCCAACTTTCTCCTTTTATTTAGAAGAGCGACAGCGCCAGTCTGAGGGTAGCTAGTTTGTATAAGCACTCTTTTCACCTTTTCTTAGAAGATGTCATCTCTGTTGGCTTTCACCATTCCAGTCAGGTATATTCCGAGTCTTGATAGCAAGAGCAGAGCGTTACAAACCTTCAAGTAAAGGGGACAGCTCTCTTGCAGAGTTGTTAACTGATGGAATGTATTTGATTCTAGTGCTCCCTGTGGTGGAAGTTGAGACTTTGCAAGTTTTTAGTGAAGAGCAGAACAACAGGAACAAAAGGAAACAAACAATCGCTCTAGATTCTAATGTGAATTATACCTTATGAGATTTATGAAACTTAAAGGAAAAACTGGATTAAGACATGTTGGAAGTGAATGCTAATAATGTGTAAGCCTTTAGGTTTGTTAGTGGTTTTTTGTGTCTGGCTGTGTTTTGGTTTGTTTGGGGTTTTGTTTGGGTTTTTTACATACAGGATGCTGTAATTTGAATAGGGATTTTTTTTTGCCTTTATCTAATGTTAAGTTCCACTTCATACAACTGCAGTGTTTTACTAGAATTTAATTTTCTTTCTTGTTTTCTGAACTTCCATAACTTCAGGCAAAGGAATGATTCTGACTTCTTTAGCCTGCAGTAAGGTTAATATCTGTAATTAGATAATTCAGATGCTGGAGTGAATCAGCTTTCTTCACATTTGGCCAGTGTATTTCACTACACTACTCAGCTTCCCATTCAGTCTCTCCACTGCCGGTTTGATCTTCTTGTAGCCAAACTTGCCTGGCGTGTTCATCTCCTCTCCTGCTTTTATGCCACATGCAGGCTGTTACCAAATCTGTTTTTCTGATGCATCTCTGAAGTCTGTTGTCACTGCAGGATTGCTTTGGATGCCTTGGCTTACTTTGACTATGGCAGCAAACCTTTCTTCCCTACCACCTTCCATTTCCTGTCAAATTATCATCCTTTCTTTGTTTCTTTAATCTCACCTTTCAGTCAAATGGAAGCATCTTGGTTTTGCCTTCAAGGTTTTTGTACAATTCAGTTATGTCTCTATCTTACCTCCCATCTTCTTCAGTGTTCTTCAGCTGATTGTTTTTTTACTTTGGTCTTAATTTTTTTAAGTAGCATGAAATTCCTTTTTTTTTTTTTTCTTATGAATCCATCTCAAACCATGTTTGTGTAAAGCTGTTATTAAGTACCTTTCTGCTACCTTGAGTTTGCTCTGTGTCCTGTATGAAGCGTTGTGCCTGTGTCTGAACTGTGAGTTTTGTGGTTTCCAGAGCTAGAGCCAGACACCTGCTGATGTATCAGTGGACCCGTGAGTTTGTATTTCAAGTCAGTCGGCTCAGATGTGCTTTCCAGCAGTGCAGATGTCTTTAGTAGTACTTGGTGTTTTGGGGGGATGAAAAGCATTTGGGCTAGAGGCACAGCTTCTGAGAAGTGTGGAAAGAATGCAAAGAAATACCATTTTGCCTTGTGGTGTCCAGGTGTTCCCACAGCAGTAGTAATAGGGTCATTTTCAAACCTGACCATCCTGAAAGGTAATATGGAAAGCACTGCTTCTTTACAGTGACCAAGGCAAATACCTGGGATATCTTGTGCAGTAAGTTGAAAACTTGCTCTCAGCGTTGTGTAGGTTAATATCAGGAAATCATGATGTGCATTGTGTTGGAAAATAAACAATATAATTTCTTTGTTGTCCTTATGAACCAGCCTATATGTTATTTTTCAGATGCTTGGAAGTGAAATTGATGTGACCCTGTATTCACCACCTTTGCCAGAGTTTGATAGCAGTATGGTTATCATCTTCCTAATTGCTGTGTTTACAGTGGCACTAGGAGGCTACTGGAGCGGAGTAGCAGAACTGTAAGTTTTGTTAAATGGAACTGCTTAAATTATGTGGGCTACAAATTTTATTAAAATTGTCACTATGATTAGTGAGAAGTTATGTTCTTTTAGGTTGGTAGTTAAAAAATTAGAAGCTCTAGATGTAATTAGCTGCTTTGCCAAGAAATACTTGAGCACTGCAACCTTTGAAAAATCACCATAGGTCTTTGAGGAACCTTGAGTAATAGATTGTAAAAGTCCCTGAAGGGTAATGCAGCTCTTGGGAGGAGGACTGAGTTAACATTTTGACAAGTTACCAAATACCCTGTAACTAGTATCATAATACTCCAATATCCGTGACAGAAAGTAGGTATTTTAATGACACCTTTAAAATCCAGAGGTACACACGTAGTTGTATGTAGTGTCTGCATTGGTGGGGTCTGTACAACTGCCTTGTCCCAGCTGGCTGTGCAGTACCCTCGGGGATGTCTCTGCACCACACTCCTATCACTAGGAGCACTGGGGAGTGCAATATGGTTGTGTCCAAGTGGCTCCAGACAGTTAAAGTCCAACCAGGCTTATCTGCTTCAGCTTTGTATGTTATCTGGTGCAGCAAGAGAGCCTGGGGCAGTAGCACCTCTAGGACTAGGCAGGGGCAAGGAGGCAGCAGCAGTCCCTGTGCAGGGAAGGGGAGGGAGTGGAAGTGTAGAAGGTGGCAAATGCAGGGAAAGGAGGGGCAGTAGGGGTTTCTGCGCTGTGCTCGGGGGGTGTGCGGCTTTGTTTAGTGAAGTGAAACATGCTTGATGCACAGAACTGGTTTTAATCTGGGGTTAAACTGGGTGTAGCTGTCCTTCCAGAGCACGGTGTTACTCTGCTGCCTCTCTGTTTCTTGGATGTCTTTGTATGCTGAATGGGCCAGTGTGCAGTTCTACCTGCGGCTTCGCTCCTCAGAACAACGGGGAATGGATTGTATGTGATAACAACAGCTTCCTTTTTCCCACTAGTTATGCAAATCTAGTGATTTTAAAGAGATTAAAGAAGTAGAAGAAGGGAGGGGTGTTTCTTTTTTTTTTAAGGCTGGATCTGATTATACTTCTTTAGTACCCTGCAGTGATACAGGGTGTGGCTGTACTGAATGCTAAAGTAACAAGATGTGATGCTGTTCTCCCATATTGAAAAATACCTACATGTAATTATATTAAACTTGTTAAAGTGCACTTTCATAAATCTAGGGTGAGCTTTTTTAAAAAAACCTGCTTATTCAAAGCATGTCCTCTGAGGAGGTGATTCATCTAACAAAGTGCCTTACTCCTGTGGGTTTTTCTCTTTTGAAGATAGCTGTTTCAGTGCTGAATTCAGCATTTTGTAGGTAGGTCCTGGGATTCGTCGGGAACACGCTATCTGATGGGCAAGTTGCACTACTGTCTGTACTAAAAGAGTAGTAGGGCTATCTGTTCAAAGAACAAACACAGCAATTTAAGTCTCCTTATTTTGCATAGGGAGGTATAAATGTGGAGTATGTGTGCATAGAAATCTTACTCCCAGTGAAAATCCCCAATTACTCCCGCTCTCTTTCACTCACTTTGTAATTATGAGGTGTAAGGGTAAAAGAACAAGTACTTAGCTAGCTTCACTCTGCTAACATGAGTGGAGTTTGCAGACACTTAATGTTGAGGTTTTAGAACAGCGTGTAATACTCATGATGTTGATTTATCATAGACATATTTATCAGATTGACTACATTTGGCCCAAGAAATTTTGTAGGCAGAGGTGAGGTACTAATAGAGTTGAGTGCATGCATCCTGGAAAGCAGTCTGAGTTCTGATATTGGACTGTTTTTTCTCACATGGATCAAGGTTTTGGTTGGGGGTACTCCTTAAAGTTGGCAATTACCACATAGTTGGAAAGGAGGGCAGTTAAGAATCTTTCTCCTTGTGATCTATGCTCAGTTAGAAGTGCATATCTCTATTCAAAAATGGAAAGAAACTCAAATGATAAGCCTACCATATTTCTGTACTTTTAAGTCTAATAATGGTATGAAGGATTAGACTGAAATGCTGTCAGTCTAAACACTTTATAATCAGCAGTTCTGGTCGTAGTAAGTAAAACGCTTTTGTAATCTGTCATCTGAGGTAAATGTGTTGTTTTCTTAAAACAGTGAGAATCTGAAGGCAATAGCAAGTCCTGGGGAGAGAGAAACAAGACGGAAAAAGGAAGAAAATGTTACTTTCACCCCTGTGACAGTTATCTTGTTTGTTGTCATCTGTTGTGTCATGCTGGTCTTACTTTATTTCTTCTACAAATGGTTAGGTAAGAATCAATGGATAATCTCATTTCACTTGTTTTCTGCATGGTCTTATTAGGTGTCTAAGTCTTAAAAGCTAGATTTCTAAACTAAAATTAATGTAACTTTTTAAATTGTTCTCTTCATGTATGAGTTGAGAGTTGAAAAGATGTAATTGCTACTTAAAAAAGAGAGAAGCTTTCTTCTACTCTGTTACAAAGGCTGCCTTGACAGTGCTTATTCTGAGTGAAGTAACGTGGAAGAGAGGTGACCAGCAACTAGTAAATAAAGTATGATGTATGTCAGCGTTCTTGGGAGGGTGGCATTGGTAAGTTAGTAGTGTTTAGAGCAAATTTGTTTGTTATATATTGCTACGTTGATGTTAAGTTTGTGGTTGCAGTGCACTAATTGAAGTACCAGGTGAAATGGTGTTACCATAATTGAATAAACTCAAGCATGCTAGCAATAACCTAAGTTCTTGAATTATGCAATTCCAGTGAAATACAGCTTCCAAACTGTTGGTTGACTTTTTTTCCCTGCCCTCAAATCACACATCCGGAAAATGTACAGTGTTTTAAATGACACTTTTTAGTACTATCAATGTAGCTTTCATTCTGAAAGTTTCCTAAATTTAGAATTTGTTACCAGTTAACCTCTTGCTTCTGCAGAAGAAACTTCACCATCCCAACTTCTGGTTTTGTTTGGCTTTTGTTATCTCGACTATGGGCAATGCTACCTTTAGTAAACTTCTCCCACTAAAAGACTGATGAACATGGTCAAAAGATTGAGGTTAAAAATGTCCCCTGTTTATTCTGAGATGTTTCAGGTGAAATTTCAGAAGAGGTGAAGAAGGAGGCCTCTTAAAGGAGAAAGGGAGAGGAGTAACAAATTAGGGGGAGGAAGAAACGTGAATGGTTCAAAGAAAATACGTTAATAGCTTTTTGCTAAGAAACCTTAGTTCTGTGCACTTTGGAACAGACATATATGCGATTTCTTGGAGGTAAAGAAGCTGTTACCATGGTATGACACGCTCTCCCAGGGAAAAAAATCTGTATTTAATTAAAAACAAGCAATGAAAAAACCCCCACTTTGATATGTCACTACTCTAGTGTGTGAATGTAAGTCCTGATACCAATACTTGGAGTTCAGCTCAATTCTCTAACTGAAGTACCAGAGAGGAAGTGTTACCAGCACAAAGCCAGTTGCAAAGCTGAGCTCTGTGATGGGAGTTCTCTGTATCTCTTTTTTTAAGTATTTGGGCATTATTAATTCTGCATTGTTGCCTCAAAATTAGTGATTCCCTAAACAGCTGACTTCTTACTGACCTCAGAGGAACCTGTTGTGCAAAACTTCTCGTTTTGTCAGTTGGGGGCTTAACAGATCATAATGGTGCAAAATCTTGGTTACAACTATAAAATCCACCTTTCTTGCCTGTTTCGGGGTGGGTGGTTGTTTGGTTCTTCCCCCCTCCAGTAATTCTTTATAGGTATCAGAATTGCTTTCTGATTAGACCTTCACTACCCAAAAAAGAAAAAAAAAAACAACTCAAAAATAATCAACAAACAAAAAACCCCACCCAACTAGCAAACAACTGGTTTTATTGTTTTTCCACATTTCAGGGTGCTTACCATAAGTTAGAATACACAATATTCTCTATAAGTTAGAACATGGAATATAGGTTTTTTTCCTAATCAAGTGGTTCCTAACTACATAGAAATTTTTGGAAGTGACAGGGTGTTTAGGATCTTAAAATGCCACCCTAAATCATCAGTCAGAACTTGGGGATGCTGAAACTTCTATGCATAAGCAGACGAAGTGATTGAAGGGAAAATTTTAAGTGAGGAATATTATCAGAAATTGAGAAAGCTGGTAGGTGTAAAGTAGCGCTTTGGTTTTAGCCATAACCAAATAGAAGTATGTGAAAGCATTAACAGATGACATATTTCTTCTTAAAGAAAAGGGATGGGGGAAAAAAAGTTTCAAAACTCAAGTCTTTGCTTGATGAGAACTCCTGTCATGGCAGAGACACTCAGAGCTCAGCACTTTCTGTAATGAGCTGACTGTAGTCTCTAATGACTGTATTGAGCAGTGCTCTGACAGTTTATGTCAAATGTACATTGCTGTGTTTGATCTCTGCTATTTTTCTCTGTTGTATTTTATCACTGATTCCCATCTTCCATTCTTTTTATTTAGTGTATGTTATAATATCAGTCTTCTGCTTGGCATCAGCAATGAGTCTATACAACTGTCTTGCGGCATTAGTAGGAGAAATACCATTTGGGCAGTGCAGGTATTGTACACCTTTCCATTATTATAAATGCAAGGTTTCTTCTGGGTGTTTTCTGGTTGCTACTCAAGGTAGTGTGAAAATATGAGAAGAGTTTGACCAATTGTTTCTTGTATGGTTTAGTGCGTGGGATTGTTAAAAAATAAAATTACAAGCTCCTTTAATAGATATTAAAGGTATCTGAAGCATAATCAACAGTTAAAATAGTATTGTGGGAGATTTGCTGCATTACCTTTATTTGAAAGCATTGCTATAATCAAACTTGATAGGCCCTGCTTGGCTCTCTGAGCTCAGTTTTACAAAATTCTGATTGCCTGTGGGGTGTGCTTACTTTGTTCCTCAAGGAACTCTGTAAGGGGGGATCCTGCACCTTTGATCCTGTTTTGGGCAAGTACTATGCTATAGGCAATAGAGGTTTTTTTCCCCCTTCATATTAGTCTGTACTGTACCTGTGGCAAACCAAGTTTTAACTTTTTTTTTTGCAAAGGCAACACATTGCTCACGTCCTCTGGGTTAAGAAGTTTGTGGTTAACAGACCTAACTTGGTAGGTCAGGGTACAGATAACCTCTTGTTACTGCTCTGAGTTAAATATCCTGCAGGTATGAGTGAGCATGGTAGTGTCCCTGTTCCCCCCTCCCCAGTCCCCCAGACATAGTTCTGTTGGCATAATTGTTATGTGACAGGAATGGATTCAATAAATTCATCTGCTTTCGTGGATATGTTTGCTAAAATGAGGACTGGCCATCAAAGCCCAACTTGACTTACTACCTGTGGGTAATATTTTAATATAGCCCAGAGAAGGACTGGTTCTGCAGATGTAAGAATAATGCCACCTGAGTCTGGACAGAAAAAATGGGCAAAGGAGAAGTTTCAGGATGAGAACACCTTGTCACCTTGTTAGCACAAGCATGTGTTTTGACTGTTGCAGGCTTTCTTTCTTAATTTAATTATTTTCTTTTAGGATTGTATGTGGCAACAAAAACATTGAAGTGAGGCTTATTTTTCTTGCTGCATTCTGCATAGCAGCAGCTGTCATCTGGGCAGTGTTTCGAAATGAAGATAGGTAAGTGATGCATTCTGACTTTAAAGAGTAATAGGAATAATTGTCATTATGAACTTCCCATCTGCCCTGGTTTCTCTGGGATAGAATCATAGAATTAATTCTCTGTCAGAAGAGCTGCATTTTAAGAAAACTGCAGCACCCAATTTAGTGAGAACGAAGTTGATAAGACACTTTGTTTTAGTTTGTGACCAGCCATGGTATGTGGGTTCCCATAGTGAACAAGAGGTCTTCAGCAGTTTAGTTAGCCAGGTGCTAAGGCTAGGAGGAGCGAAAGCCAGGGCAGCTGGCCCAAGCTGGCCCACAGAAGTATTCCTTCCCATAAACTCACACTCACTATAAATTGGAAAGTTTGCTGGGGACAACCCTCTTCCTCAATGGCCCTCATCCCTGGAGGGTCTTGCCTGTCATTCTGCCCCCAAGGCCTGCTCTTCCGCTTGTTGTGACTGTCACATTTTCGTCATCTGAGTATAACTTTGTGTATTTTATATTAGTATTAGTTATTATTATTTCATTAAATGTTTTCATTTCAACCCACGGGTCTCCTTTCCTTTTCCCAATTCCCCTGCCCCAGGGGTGGGGAGGAGTCATTGGTGATACAACAACTAGCTAAACCAAGACACCTTCGTGTGACGAATCCTGGAGCATAGCATCCTTCTAAACTCCAGTACCAATATCAAAGAAGTCATGAAAATACTTAAGAAGCTTAACAAGCATGGGAATAATAGAGAACAAAGCTATACAAATGAACTGTGTGGTAATTTGAAGTTACAAAAAATTATGAAGATGAGGAAGAACTAGCTTCAGTGCTATTAATTCTACAGAAATTTTTTTTAAAAAGTGCAAAAATAGCGTAGGGACCATAGGACTTATGTTTCCCATGTTCCAGTGGAAGCACAGGATCACAAATACACAAATATTATAGTACAATCCCAAGCAGCATCTTGAGCCAGGTGTGAAGTAGAGCTTCCAGTCAAGTGAGCAATGATACAAGTGAACACCAAGGCCCTATTATGGCCTCTGTTCAACTCCTTTTCTCTGTAACACACTGCCAAAGAACAGTTACCTATTTATGATCAGAGGTTAGTGTAAACTGACCATCTTGAAACTAGTACTTTGTGGTTTTGGTAGCAATACTTTCTGAAAACTAATTTCTTGCTTTCCAGTCCATTTCGTAATCTTGATATTTCCAGCAAAATCTAAAAACATTATTGCACTGATATTCCAGCAGTAGTTTGAACAATGTTTAAAATGTGCTCTTATTTTTAGGTGGGCTTGGATTTTGCAAGATATTCTGGGAGTTGCTTTCTGCCTAAATTTTATTAAAACACTGAAAATGCCCAACTTTAAGGTACTGTAAGTTGCTTGCCTTAAGAAAGTATTCTAATCCCATGAATCTGTAACTTTATTGTCAGGAAAAAATCTTTACAATTTTTAGTGTTATGCCAGAATAAAAACATGGGAGGGGTTTCCTCTTCCTTTTTGGTGGTACAGTAATGGTACCAGAATTTAGCTATGCAGTCCTTGAAAACCTGTAGTAATATTTTCTCCTTTTTCTTGCCAGTCCTGTGTGATACTTCTAGGCCTTCTCCTTCTATACGATGTGTTTTTTGTCTTCATAACACCATTTATCACAAAGGTATGTCTGTGAATTTATCTGTCAAATAAAACCAAAAATGTTGTCTGGTCATTGGGGCGGTATTTTTGTCAGATTAGTGTTTTCAGTATTCTCAGTGCAGAAATGCTGACTTCCTTTTCTTTTTCTTCATTTAAACCAGCAGTGGCCTAAATTTTCATCTTGTATGGGCTGTAGAGCATAATGCTTGTGTAGGTGCCATGAATTTTGTTAAATAACTAAGTTTTCAGCAATCACATGGCCAAAAGTAGGTTGTCCCCAGTTGTGTGACAGTGCGATGATGAGAAATTACCGTCCTCCAGTTTTCTTCCTCCTTTTGCTTTTAACACCTGTGTACTGGAACATGCTCTAGTACTTTCTGCAGTGCTCATTTGCAGTGTAGTATGAACTGTATGTAAGTGTACCTTCTTTTGCTTTGAAGCAGAAAGCTCATGGCAGAAAAAGCTGACACATTTTTATCTAAACTGCTGGCTACATCTAGTGGATTTGTTGTTTGGTTTTTCTAAAACAATTATTTTAGGCTGGACTACCTGTTTTCAATGCAAAACGATACTGTATAATACTGTACAATACTAGTGCATTCCTTTTGATGTTCAGGATTTTTCCAATCCTGACTTGTATGATGAGGTACATGCAGGTTTTTTAAATGTAGTATGAATGTTTCGGTATATTAAACTGCTAACTTCTGAAAAATAACCTTAATTTCAGAACGGGGCGAGTATAATGGTTGAAGTTGCAGCTGGTCCTTTTGGAAACAGTGAAAAGGTATGAACAGTTCTTTTACTCCGTGCAACATAAAAATACTGACACTGCATAGCTAATTCATAGTGTGCTTTTTGGCATAACTTTCTCACAAAATATAGCCAGCTTCTGCTATTTTCTTTTAAGTATTAAATACCTGTTGACTTGGGTTTGATCCTAGAATGATGGAAACTTGGTGGAAGTCCCTACTGAACGCTCAGCTCCCCATGAGAAAGTAAGAATTGTATTTCAGATACTGGATTTTTAAATTATTCCCTCTGAAAAGACTATTCTTTTGGGGAAAACCTGACTGTCCAAATTTCTCTTCAGGGCCTGGATATCACTGATCAATATTCTGTAGTTAGGTTAATAATCCAGTTTTGTTATTACCATTATATGGATAAATGTTGTTTTAACTTTTTTTTTGTGTGTGCATATCATTTGTAAATCTGAAATTCCAGCTTACCTGTTGCCTTAAGCTTTATCCACTCTCTATGTTGGTTTCTGGTTTTTCCTTTAGGTTCTACCTATTTTGAAGTTCTGCATTAACAATAAATTAATTATATTAAGCCTGTTTCTTAATTTAAGCAAACAAAAAAAAACCCAAACCACCAGGATGCTCTAGATTAGATTTATGTGGGCTTCTGAAATACTGTTTTACAGTTACCTGTGGTTATTAGAGTGCCTAGAATTGAATACTCTGCAGCGACACTGTGTGACATGCCATTTTCATTGTTGGGTTTTGGAGACATTATTGTCCCAGGTGAGCAAATATTTTTCGCAACTGTAATTTATGATTAAACATTTTGGGCTTGCTTCTCAACTGACTTGAATTTATTCTACAAAGTAATTACTAAATCAAATACAGCGGTTTGCCTTGATCTGTCCGTGCAGAATACAACAGTTCTTATATGCACAATATAGGAAAGCTCACTATGTTACAGAAATAGTTGCTTAAAAAGTGAAGGGTTTTTTTTTCCTGTTGCACTGTATTGTGTAAATACAAGTCCCACAGATAAATCCAGTTGTCAGTAATAATTAAATCACAGAATGACAGAATATTAGGGATTGGAAGGGACCTCAAAAGATCTAGTCCAATCCCGCTCTAGTCCAAATCTCATTGAAATCTCACAGAAAGCAAGCATTCTGTGACCTTCATAGTATTTTCCTATCTGAGACTACCTAATTAGAGGTGAGGTAACGGAAAATGTATTATCAAGTTTTTCCATCTTTCTCAGGAGAGATGAATTTTGCTGTAGTTGGAGTCTTGAGCAAATTACTTGAGTCAGGCACAAAGCACCATCTTGTGAGCAGCATACAGGCAAAATTGCTGATGGTTAAGAGCAAGCATTAAAGTCCTGTTGAAGAAAAGTATTAAGATTAAGTTGCTACTCTTCTGTATTAGAAAATTGAAAATAGCACGATGGAATTAGCTTGCGTAAAAAACCAAAATCTTTTAATACCAAGCTCACTTGGCTCATGTTTCCATTATGGTTTTGATTTTCAAGACTTACTGTAGGATTTTCTTCTTCTGGTTCCTGACTTTCCAGAAAAAAAAATAGGAAGATAACATACAGTAATGAGAAGTCTTACAATATATGTTGATCTGATTTGGAGGAATGGGGAGAAAAAAATTAATGGCTAAACATTTCATTAATCTTTTTTTTTCCCCCCCTGCCTCTCCTTCAAGGGCTTCTGGTTGCCTATTGCCGAAGATTCGATGTTCAAACAAGTTCATCTTCAATATACTACATTTCCTGTACAATAGGTAAATCATGTGATATTTCAGCAATGTTAATCTTCATGCTAGCTTTTTTTAAATGGTAGAACTAGATAGTTTTCTTCAGGTAAAGAAAGGTTCAATGTTGCCAAGAATCTCTTTTTAATGTGGCTGTTCATATTTAAGGTGAGTATTCTTTATGGCAGTCAGTTGCTTTGAGAAACCTTGCAAGTACAGAGCAGCCTATTGTCCCTCTTTTCTTCAGTTATATTAACAAGGAAGATATTACTTTTAAAAAAATTAATTCTGGCTTACTAAATGAGTGACTTAATTTAAAAATTCACCTGTTCTTGATTGTGTATGTATAAATATCTTTTTATAGCTTATGCCATTGGTATGGTGCTGACTTTCATTGTTTTGGCATTAATGAAGATGGGACAACCTGCCCTTCTCTATCTTGTACCATGTACACTCATTACTAGCTCGCTTGTTGCTTGGAGGCGCAAAGAGATGAAGAAGTTTTGGAAAGGAAGCAATTACCAGGTAGGCTGGATTGTTGTTAATTCCTTTGAGTATATGCTTCTCTAAGTACCTGGTAATATATCACCCCTGCAAGCCAGTTTTTGCTAGTCTTCATGTTATCTTCTGGAACTAATAAGGGAAAATAGTCTTTATTTTTAGAAAATCTTAGTCTAGTAGTTGACATGGAAGAACAAAGCTTAAGGGAGGTTAAATAACTGGGTCAGTACTCATGGGAAAAAGTAATTTGTTCTGGTTTGTTTTATTTGAAATGTCTTTTCACGTTTTAACATTCCTCAACTATCATCATGATGTGGTACAACATGAGTCACTGCACTAGTCCTGTATTAAAAGACAGTTCAAAAAAGTTGGTGATCAACTAGAATTGTAGAAACTTTCCATGCATCACTGGCATCCTGCATTGTCAGGATTATACAGAGTATTCAGCAACAAAATAGCTGGGTGGTTATATCACTGTGTTCTGTCACAGTGCAGCACCCTGTGTGCACACTGCCTTGGGTATTCTGCATTTCCCCTTTGTCTGTCTCTGACACTACCAGGAACTGCAGTCCGTAAAACCCCACCAGCTGTCTGCCTCTCCCTGGTGACATGTGCACATTCCCCCGATGTGACTTGCTGTGGTAACTTGCTGTGCCAGTAGCCCTTACGAGCTGGCATTTATCATAAGACAGACCGCTCTCGAGATTACTCTAAACTGTGTTTGAGACCTGAAGTCCAGTATTGTGTGAGTTCAGAAACTGTCACCTGTATCTAGGTTGCGGTGGACTCGGCTCAGAGAATGGACAGGCTGTGGTGAGGGAAGGTGGGCAGTGTGAAGTTGATAGTGGAAAGGAGCAGCTCCTGCTTTTTCAGCTTCTGGAGTGCAGGGTTTAAGTGGGTCAGTGGAAGTCAAGGTGGTGGTAATTCTTGTCAATGCAAAACTGCAGGCACGCAGCTCCTATGGTACTGTCAGCTAAATGCTACCTTTTGTTGATCTAACTAATATTCTACACCTGCCTCAGCCAGAGGTTGGCTAGGTATGAAATTGCTCAGGAGATCTTCAGCTTTAACTGGATACCCTGTCATCTTATTTACAAAAACACCTATTCTCCTTTCATAGGTCCAGTGAATAGAAATGTTTCTTTGTAGGTCAGAATGAATTTGTCTTACCATGCATTTGTATATAAATTGGTGACTGTTTGCTATTCTAAAATAGTGTCACCTATATGAAGCCCAGTAACTCTGGGTCTGTTGGAGGAAAAAAAGCTTTGCAATTTATTTTCCTCACTTGAGTTCTGAGTAAGATTGGCCTAAGTAAATCTGGCAACTCTCTTTAGCGACAAAAATTTCTTGTACTTCTCATAGCAAAACTCATACTTGGAAGAATTATGTTGCCATAGTAGTTATTTCATGTCCTTTCAACTGGTTTCTTGAAGGATTAAAACTGCTCTGAACTTCAGCTTGTTTTGAGGTCAGATGACTCCTTTTCTAGCACAATTTAAAATGTTGATTTCCTCCCCCACTCCACCACCCCCGAGTTAGACTTGTCTGTGATTGAGTGTCTCTGTGTAACTTTACTAACTCCTATTTTCCTATAACTTTCCAAAGAACGTTTTCTGTATTAATTTTTTTCCAGAGGGTGTTATTCAAGTTGCACTCTCAGAACACTGCAGTGTTGATCTTTCTCATACGTTCTTCTCCTCACATAAAGCTGTATTTTGAACTGTCCTTACTGAACTTACAAACAAACAGGCAAAACCAAAAACCCCAAACCACACAACCCTCAGGTTGAAATCTCCAGCTTTCAGTGCTCATTCTGAGGAGGAAAGATCCAGAAAGGTGACAAAGGACTATTTTTTGCTACATCAATGGTAGTTTGGACTGGAGCGGAGCTGTCCCATTAACAGTGGTGACCAGACTTCTATAGAGGTTCGCTTTGTCCTCATGGGAACAGGGAAACTTTGAAGACTTGTTAAGTGTCCTAAGAATAGGGGTACAAGAGCATGTACAGCGTACCAGGTGACTAAACTTCGTGACTGCTACTGTTTGTTTATAGTCCATTAGTTAGCTTTTTTGAGTTTTGGGTTTTTCTGATTTTTATTGTGTATGATTTTAATAATGGAATGAATTTTATTTAGGTATCGGACTCCTCCAGGACGCCTTTGCTACAAGGTGTGATTATGGCCTTCTTTTAATGCACCTTTATTAATCATCTTATGGTTTCTTTTTTTTTCCCCCTCTGCTTCCTCTTTTCTTTCTTGTTTTGCATCTATCTTCTTTTTAATTTTTCTGAGTAATTCAATAGAAGAGGGTAGAAGTGAAGACAAGTTATAAATCTGTTTTTCTGCCTATGTGGTGGTTTTTTTCTTTCTTTAGAGGAATACAGGAAAACTTAATAGAAAATACCGATAGAGCCATGATTCCTAAGCCTGAAGGCAGGCTTTGTATGCCTCTCTACTCTATAATTTCCTAAATCCCTAGGAATGTCTTCAGATGTTTAGAATTGGTGTTACTTCCTCTATTGTTACCTATATAGAAGTCCTTCACCTAATTTTTCTGTGCCTCTGCATCGACATGAAAACCTGTTTAGTGCTAAACAATTTTGTTGTCCTCTGTTATAATGTTCAGCATTATAATTTGCCTTTAGTAATCATGCTTACAGTCCCTCTATCATTTTATTACTTGACAGTATACTTTATCCCATACTGTCTCCAGTGCTTGCAGTGGGATTGGGAGCAAGGATTTGGACCAGCTTTTGTGGTCTTGCTGCTGCACAGCTTCTAGACTGCAGCAGGAAGGTTTAACCTTCCTAGGCCATAGCTCGTGACTGCTAACAATGATGGCATTTATTTTAACTGTCCGTTGTCTCAAGCACAGCATGGAGAGAGCAATGCATGCTTTCATATTTCAACTTCTTGCAGAATTTAAGTATTTAAATGTAATCTTGAATTATAGTTGGCAGTCTAGAGTTATATATGTATTTATAAAGCGCAGCTTGTCTGCCCTATACACTGAAGACAATTTGAGATGATGAACTCTGCCTCACATTTTTAAATACTTGCAAATTAATCATAGCTATAAGTTGTTAAGAATTATTTGAATGCAGCATCATCAGAGTGAATCTTGCAGGCAAGTGTGTGCATGGGTACTGTGTACTCTTTTACAGGTGGGAGTTTGTATTGCCACTTCTAGTTTGGCTCTGTGTGTATGAGGTTTTTTGGGTTTCGTTGGTTTTCTTGGGTTTTAATACTTCACCACATTAGGAGACAGCCTTGTAGCTCAAATACATTTATGTCTAACCTATCTTGACACCTCCTCCTTAAAAACTGTCAGGAATTCAAATGTGGGAGAAAAGCTTTTGAATCTCTTGCACTTAAAAATGTTCATCGGCTCTCCACAACGTACAGTCTTTGGCTCTTTCAAGGCTTGAAACAACAACTTTGTCCAGGATTTTAGCACGGTGCCTTCATCTTGCTGCTGGTTGTCGTAAAGATTCCTGCAGCTTCTGCTGAGGCTTTGAGGGTGAGGTTGTCCTGACAGAACCTATACACTTGTGGAAAAAGCTGCTTAATGCAATCTTACACTTTCAGAAAGGCATCTGTTGTCCCTGACTTCAAGTTGTGGGCTCTCCTTCTATATGGTGGAGAGATTAGAAATGGGGTGAAGAGGCTTTTTTTGGTTTTTTTTGCCTTGTAACATTTATGTATATCAAAGAACCCCAAACACCCTTTATGCTTTACTAGACATTTTGGTTTTAAAGTTAAATTAAAAATCTGATATATTAATTAGAGAAGCAGAGACTTTAAATAAATAAATACAGGTGGTATCTCCAGCATAAGTACATTTTTGTGCTACTTACCTTGTTGTAGGATTAAGAGAAGAATCTTTGACTTTGGGGTACACTGAATTGTTGCAAATAGTGTTAACTCTTCCTTATGGAAGCATCTTGTCAGTTTAATAGGGAAATATTTTACAGGAATGCTTACCAAAACTACCTTCTCTCTGCCAGCTGTTAGATGATCCTCCTTAGGACGAAGGAAGATACATGGCATTACTTGATGTAATGTGGTAGTTGTGGGGTTTTTTGTTATTTTTTCCTGAAAACAGTCCTCATTCAAAATGACATTTTGACTTCTGTAATTGTAGGGAGTGTTTTGCTTTGGGTGACTTTTGATGTGGATTATTGGTCACAGTGCAGAGGGAAAGTTCTAGATATACTGAAGTGAATGCAAGATTGTCATTAGCACAGGAACTTGGTGTTCACTGCTGGACGGAGCATGAACTATTGCTGTAACTCAGTTCTTAGGTGTATTGGCAAGACTAGTGCCTACCTTAATTCTGACACATGAAGGGAGGGATGTCAAAGACCTTTTCTGGTTTTAGTCAGATTTATATTGTGGCCACTAGACTCTCCTAAGCCTTACCCGAGTCCCAGTGACTGGTTTCTGCCTTGGAACTGTCATCTCAACTTCCTGCGCGGCATGGTGGTGTGTCTGGATTGGGAAACAGCTTGTTTAAGCAAACCTGCTTTTAATAAGGTCCGTTTGTGTACCTTGCAATGAAACAATTCTGTCGGCATAAAAGAAGGTATGGCACAGGGGTGGGTCATGGCTAAAGAAGAAGAGAGAAGTTAGTGGAATTACTCTCTTTGCCCTGTATACACAATTATACCACACTAAAGTGCATATGACACAACAGTGCTGGAGCCTGGCTTTATCTGCCAAGGATCCTCCAGTGGGTGCCAGTAGGACAAGAAAGTAGTTGTGTCCTCATGGCCCAGCTTAGAACCCACGCAGTGAGCAGCTGTTTTACAGAAAGACAGGGAGCCTTTTTACTAGTAGGCAGGATATGCCACTGTGGAAGAACGTATGTAGGGTTTTCTGCCTCTTGATGCAGAAAGCATTATGCCCTCGTCCTAATAATCCTGCCACGCTGGGCACGTGAGCTCCTCGACACGTTTCAGCATTATTTTTACTACTCTCTATCTTCTGTCTCTGGTTGTCAGCTATCAAAACTGTCCAATCCTTGGCCTCTTGTTATTTATGCTTGATTCTGAAGCCCTCAGACTGATGGTTTGTCATGCTAACAAATGTCTGTATTACCTCTGTAGTTTATTCAAAGCCTTGTCCCAGGGAGGAAAGCAGAGCCTTCATTGCCCTCTAGCAATACAGCAGTGGGTAGGGAAACAGGCTGCTTTGAGTAAGGAAAAGTACAACCTTGTCCTGTGTCATTCAGTTGACTTGATCAGTTACATCAACTGGAAAGTATAGTCAGTCTATATAATAATCTGGTTTAGATTATTTTCTGTTGCAGGACTTTACAATTCCATTTCCTTTATCCTTTTTGAAATAAAAAGAAAATTTACGAAGAAATGTTGCCAATAAAGTTAGTTTTCACTAACTGTGATACAGCTAGCCTTTAGTCAGGAAAAGAGAAAGCTAGTCTTCTCTATTCAAGTTATTTCTTGCTACCTGTAAATGTTAGGTATCCTAGATCTCATTTCCAGTTCTGCAAACCATGTCTTTGAAAACTTTGCTTAACCCCAGTCAGGTTTTTTGTTCTCTGTATTTAATAATTGAGACACTTTTGACTCATAAGTTTAATTTCTTGTAGAGGACTTGAATCCTTGGTTGGAGAATACTTTTGTAGTGGAAAGCATTAGCTAAGAGAGCTCTGATTACTTGGCTTGAATACTTTCCTGATCTATAGAGGACTTCCTGTCTGTACGCTGCTAAAATGCACTCTAACACTTTTAATTATATTTCTCTTAGCTAACAAATACTTTGGACCAGTGGGGGAAAAAGCATAATTCTTTATAAAAAGCCATCTCTCTCTTTTTTTCTTTTTACGTTTAGATGATGGAACACCTGGACTATACAGGAAATGAAGAAAGCACAGCACCAGCCAGTGAACAGCGTGCAAGACAATAACATGTAGGATCCTGATTTAAAGTAGTACTCAAATTTTCTACAAGTTAATTACAGTAAATTTGGTGAAATTTTACAATAGAGTATTTCCTATTCTGTGTCAAAGGGTTTTTTACTCCCGTACCTATATTTTTATGGAAAATATTGTTGATAACATAAAAGTAATCAAAATAGACTTGCATTTTTACAGGCAAACCATAGCTAGTAAAACCGTGCCTTATTTTGATTTAAATAAAAGGATATTTTCTATGCAATTTTCCAAATGTGTTTCTATACAGTATATTTTTATAACAGTTCCTTGCCCATATCAGTTTGATGCATGAAATGTTTTCTTAATTTTGATTAGTCAAGTTTCATTTAAAAAAAAAAGTACACTACCTTTCATACAATTTCTTTCCAGATTTTGAATGCAAAGATTGATAGTAATGTAACTATAGCAACTAAAGAATGAAACTATAGTTCCATTACTACAACTAATTGAATAAACAGTGTGTATGTTAGTCAATGTACACTGTAAGCCATAAAACAGATAACAGGGCAAATTTAGATTGGGGTTGTGAGCTCTTCCCTCCCCGTAGTATCACTGGCTTATGCCTTAATTGTGACAATTGTTAAGCTTTGATGCAAGTCTTTGGATTATATACATTGCCAACCATTTCCAAAATAATAAAAGCAGAAAGGTACTTACACAGCGGTCCTGGAAATTTAAGTGCAGCTACTGGAATAGTTGACAAACAAGATGGAGCAAAAGGCAAGGGGATCTTTGCTCAGGAAGTGCTATCTGGGGGAGTGGGGTGAAATGTTAACCCCAGCCTGGTGGTTCTCCTACCCATTGAGACTAGGTCTGTATTTGTGGTCTTCATTTGGCTGTAGATCCATTCAAAGGGATAGGGGAAGACAGGACATTTTTTTAGCTTTGGCATCTAAACAATACTTTTTTTTTAAAAAAAAACCCTATTTTTGAAAATTCTCTACGTTTGATCGACAAAAGAACAGGTTTGAATAGTGCTAGTAGTGCCTGTGTTAGTTAAGGCCAATGCATGTGTTTAACTTGTTTACTCTTAATTTGTTTTAGCTTTTAAAGACTTGGAAAAGAAGAAATAGTTTAAATCATTAGTTTGCATTTAGAAGAGTTTGAGTTTGTTTGAGACTTTTTCTTTTTCCAGGAAACTGCAAATTGAGGGGGATTAGGCATAGAAAATTTGTATAGCTGTAATGCTAACACTTTACACCAAAGAAAATTGGAGAAGGCACCAACAGGAAACCACTGAGTTCACTTAGTGCTCATGTCAGGTAGTCATTAAAACATTTTTCCTATTCTTTAAATTAATGTCATTCCTATAGTCAGTGTAAGTTCAAGAACCCCAGAGAAAACAAGCGAATAAGCACACGCTGGGCAATGGCAACGCAGGCTTTCCTGCACTGCCTCATGGAAGTGTCCTCAGCGTTTGTCTGAAGGTCACCTCTAGACATTTATAGTTAGTTTGGGGCATGTTGACTAAGGAAAACTTACCCAGATTAAATCTAGTTTAGCTGGATTTACTTTGGAAGTATGCTAATTGAGACAATTGTAAATCTGTATGGGGAGTTAACAAAGACTTACTGGAAATTCACTGCTTTATGTAATTTATATCAAGTTTGTTTGCAAGAGTCAGGAGCGCAAAAACTTACAGCCCGAGTATTAGTTGTTGCTGTTCACACAGATTGACCGTGGTGCCAGTTGATACGGGTGAGATAAACCACCTTGTTTGCAACTTCTCTAAGGAAACAGAAATTACAAACAGTTCTCATATGTTAGTAGTTGCCCCTCGAATTTCTTGAACTGACAGCCTCAGAATACAATGATCTTGCACATCATCTTCAATTTTTATTTGACTGGCACTTAATAATAAATTACAGCATATCTCAGTGTTCCAGTAGCTGGAAAACTTGTCTTCTGATACGTTGTCATACTCTTTTTGACGAGCCCAGTATCTGCAAAAGTTAAATGGTTGTGAATAAGTTTCTGAAAATTCGTAGAAGAGATAAAGTGATAACTGATTCGAAGTCGTGTACTACTCAAAGCCCTCAGCAGCTTCACAGATCTATGTAATATGACTCCTTTTTTTCTTTGAAATCTTCTGCATGGAGGATTTATTAAATTTTCAACTGTAAATGATAATGGAATTAGTAGGAATAAACATAAGTGTATTCGGGAGCTTGATGTGAAAACTTTGTCTTGTCCTGTGCCTAATTATGCTCCATGCCTGATCGTGCCTGAGGTTTCACACACGTGTGCTGCAGTTTAATGGGATGTAAACTAACTTTTTTCTTTCAAATGCTTAGGTGCTTTGTTTACAAAAATTAAGAATGGCATTTAAAATTTTATGTAAATAATAGGTTGGTATTGACTACTGAAATGAGGTTTTTGTAAGTTCAATAGAACTGATTGCAACACTTGTAGCAATTTTGAGTGTTTTTAATATTAAATTTGGTTGGGCTAAACACTATGATAAAAGCCTTTTTAGTCATACTTTAATATAAAAATCTTACTACCTTTTCATTGTATGTTTACTGACAACAGCCCCCTTCCTTATGACTTAAGTTATCACTTTAAGAATGTTAATAAATGTTACTTGGAAAAAAAAAAGTTGAGTAATTGCTTTGTTCTGACTCGACTTTTTCCTTCTGTGAAAGTTCATGGCAAAACAGTTAATACTTTGTAATACCCAGTAAATTGAAAATCAATGATAGACCACCATAAATACGGAGTTGCAGTTTTTATCCATCCTGCCTGATGTATCAAAGTTATGATGCTATTTGTAAATAACTATGTGGTGGTTTTGGTGTATTGCTTTTTTTTTTTTTTCCCTCCCCAGGGGAAAGGGGAAGAGCTGAATTCCATGAATGGAGCTGCATCAATTTTACTGGTGTAACTCACCAAATGCCTGTTGCACACCTGTTAGTCACAGGGCTCTCTGAAAGTATACCTGACAAACAGTGAGTTAGAAATGTAACAACACCTGCAAACTTCTTGATGGTAACAAGCTTACTTGCATTCAGACTAGGAAATAGTGCTGTAGAAGCGTTGTTCAGCTGGATGTACTTTGCCTTAGACAGGAAGGGCAGGAAAAATCTAAGCTTGAAATCCTAGCTGGGTTAGAAATGTCGGCAGGGAAAAAAAAAATTAAAAACCAGTGAACCTGAATACAATTGGTATGTTATCCTTGAGACATCCCTAGAACCCTGCGATAGTGTGTTTGGATTTAATGTGATTTTAAGAATTGTAAGCCTCTTCTGCTCATACACTGGAGGTTCCAGTAGCATTGAGTCACAGTAATTGAGTACTGAACTGGGAGAAAACTCTCCAAAATGCTCTTTGAATTTACTTATTTTATAAAGTAGACAAGTTAGGAAGAACAGACACAGCTGCAATCTGCAGACTTGTTTTTCACTGTCTGTTCCCTATGCATTGCACTGCTAAGGGTAGTATGTTTGACACTAGCAAAACTGCAAATCTCAGATGCTTCAGAATTGTCAGAAGAGGGGCATTTTCTTGTAAGGAGGTACCATTGTTAGTTAACAAGTGCTTGTGTGTTTAGATTGGTCTGGTCTTTACAATACAATTCAATTTAGACATAAGAAAAAGCTTCTCATGGTGTACATGGTCAAACACTGGAGCAGGTTGCCCACAAAGGTTGTAGAGTCACCATCCTTGAAGGTACTCAAAATAGAAGTGGACACAGGCCTGGCAGGCTGCTCTGAGCAGGGAGGTTGGACTAGGCAATCTAGTGCTCTGGTTACTGAGGCATTTTTCTGTGCATTTTCCAGCTTGAATAATCTGCAATATTTTTTTTTTCTTCATAGAAAACCTCAGATTTTATCACCACAATGTGAGTTTGACTTTTCACTTGCAATAATTTACTTGTACTAAACTGTTAGATTTAAGCATATTTAAAAGTTGTCTTTGGATCTGTAATACTTTCAGAAGCTAAAGCACTGTTTTATTTTCAAGTAGCCTCTACAGCACATTTTACTGTGTGAATGATTTATCTTTCTAAGTTTTGAGGAAAGAGGGAGGAGAGCAACTCAGACTGATATCCCTCTTGTCAGAAGTGGGTGATCAAAGTTCAGGGTTTTGTGTTCCTGAGAGAGGCTGATGATGGAGGCTCAGGTATCTCTGGAATCCCTCTTATTTATGAGGAATGTGCAAGATCCTGTTTCCCTGAACACAGAGGGCATCAAATAGCTGAGAATAGGTTTTTTGCTTGCAGTTCAAAGACCTTTTAACCAAGAAAGTGTTTAGACTAAGAGGTCCCTTTCAGCTTTTTTTTTTTTTTTAGGAGTGGGCTCACAGGTATTCTGTAATCTGGTTTTCTGTTCCCTCTTCTTGCTCATGCACATACTCGCCTCCTTTCTTTCCTCCTCTTACCTGTTTGGGGCTATACCAGCATGTTTTGAAGTGTCTTTGCACATTACTTTGCTTTGGACGATAATATTGTGCCTCTTCCATTATGGAGACCAACGTCTATGAGGAGGTTTAATCTTTTGGATTCTCTTAAAGCACATGCAGTAGTCATACCCACCAGCTCAATCCACCAGTAACAGTAATTTAAAACAATAGTTTATCTTCTGTATATCCTTACCTGTGTTATGGTCCCACTGACTTTCTGGGGTTGTGTTAATGTTGGTGCAACAGCCTGGCTTAGATTTGAAAAACAAAGTAAAGGAAGTTTTTTTTACAGTTTTATCAGAGGCTGAAACAGCTCGTGCTGGCTCTCCCCGTGTTTTGCAGAAAGGCTTCCAGAATGTATCTGCTTCTGCATTGTACCTGGTTGGGAATACAAGGAAATAGACAGGTATCAGTCAAGCTTTGTTGTGATGTGTCCCTGACAAAGCTACAAGAAAAGTGGGGTCCTTAAGTTTCTTTCAAAAGGTAATGGAGACTATGCTGGGAAATTGATCTGTCCTCTGGATTTAAGGCAACTAACTGCAGAAAATTAGCAAACAGGTATTTCTCTGGTAGGTGAGTATTTCTCTGGTAGCTGATTATTTTAAAAGTAAGTTTATATTCTAGTAACAACGTAAAAAAGAGCAAATGCATGCCCATTGGTACATTTTTCTCTAAGAAATGGAACAGCAAGCCTCTGCAGGACAAAGTGACACTTTTGTCAGGGTCACTGTCAAATAAGAATTCCAAGTTGGACAATTCAGAGCAGTCCTGTACAGGCTTACCTAAAATTTTACCTTTTGATTATGAGGCACCTATTCCTGG